CCCCTAGCAATCACTTTTAATCTCAAGATTTTCCTTCTCCTGCTTGACTTGCATCAACTAGGAATGATATATGTGTGCATGTAAGACAAAGCCATGTAAGATACAATAAAGGATTGAAAGCCCACATTCAGTTCTAATAAAAATACAAACTGAAACAAAATAATGAGGATGAACTTGTGTCTGGATTTTTCGTCCCCTAGCAATCACTTTAATCTCAAGATTGCCTTCTCCTGCTTGACTTGCATCAACTAGGAATGATATATGTGTGCATGTAAGACAAAGCCATGTAAGATACAATAAAGGATTGAGAGCCCACATTCAGTTCTAATAAAAATACAAACTGAAACAAAATAATGTGCTTTATCAATGAAAAATCAGAAATCGCTATTTTAACTTGCTACTCAGAAAATAACATTCACATTTCAGCTTTAGCTGCAATAAATATTAACCATCAAATTACTATAATTACCAACTTTGGGTACCATATGGACCTCAATAGTTAGTGGGATTAACTGCAATATTAAAAGTATTTTTATTTAAATTTTTTAAATTATATTTTATTAGAGATTCTATAACCAACAAGTCGTGGACCCACAAGCAATTTGATTCATAAATAATTTAAAAAGCTAATGTGGTCCATGCGAACCTCATTTGTAATTTTTGGATTAAGATAAATTAAAAAAATTGTTTTTGCATTGAATAATATAATAAAATAAATATTTTAAACGATGATAAGCAATAAAATATTTAATATAAATTATCAGTTATAATATGTACTGAGTTTAAGGAAACTAACTTTAGATAAAACATATTAAGAAACAGCAGATGAAAGCTGGTATACTTAAGTACATCCTCAGTTGCAAACACATTTCAAGTAAATAAAAAATAATTAACAAATGTTGTCAGAATCTTTAGGTCTCAAAACCTAGCAATAAATAACGTTTTTCAGGGTTTTAATTTCCTCCAGGTGAGATGGACATCTTCCAGAAAAAACTAATTCATTTTTATAGTTCCAATAGTTTAAAGTGCTTTAGTTACTTACAGTTTACTGTTGCTTCATATAAATTAAAAATTTATACAGCAGTGTAAGTATGAGAAAAACAAACATAACTTTTGTATCATCTGCCTGATTTCCTAAAATTTGATAAGGTATCCTAAAGGTAACTATATGTTGTCTGTACTATCTCTGTTAAGTTAGTAAAAAAAAAAGAGCAGCTTTTAACAGCCTATAAACTGTTGCTGCATCACTGGCATTGTAAGTCTTCATAACAGATTAAAGTTTCTATCTGCCTGAACATGAGTCTCGTTTTAAGCCAAGATTCATATTATGATATTCAGTTAAGTCACATTAGTGCCATCACAATATGTCTCTATTAACTTTCCATCAGCTAAGTATGCTTTTATTTGACTACTTTATTGTAGCAAGCTACTTTTCTTTTTAACTAACTTACCCTGATTACTAAGATTATTGCACTCCATAAATAGTGAAGAGTGATTTACTAAAATTGACACTGACAATCTTTGAGATTAGAAATGGCTGCCTCCATAAGCTTTACATTTAACCAGCTTTCATTACATAAGTTCATTTTTACGGATACAAAACATAAAAAAAATTTCTATATGAGTAAAGACGAAAAAGTGAGAGCAGCTTACAAACAGTGTGAATCTCACAATCACAAACTGAAATTAAAACAATATTTCTAAAACACAAATTGAAAAAATAACATACCTGTGAACTGTACTGTCTTACAAATGGTTTTGTGTGGTATGTCACTGACTTCAACCTTTTCTGCATCATAGGCTTTCACCATATGAGGACTGTTTGGGATTACGTTTCCTGCATACTCTACTAGTATTTTGTATGGACCTGTAAGTTTTACAGAACATACTGTTATCAAGAAGATCTTGGGTTATCTTGGGTATAAGGTATCGAAGCAATGAAAAAAAGGAGAAAAGCAATTGAAAATGTGTTTTATTGTTTTGTCACTATAATATAATATTCCATATTTTCGAATCCTTACACTTACCAACTTCTTTTGGAACAAACTCTGCTGTAAAGCCACTACTCCCAGATCTTGCTATTTTTACTGGAAGTCGTGAGTCATCTGGTGCTATAACACAGACAACAAATAGACTGTTAAATTTGAAGTTAATCTTTTTATTGCAATGCACAAAAATCATTTTCAAAACTGCAATAACTTAGGTAATGAGAAATCATTTTAATTTAGAGAACTACAGTTATGAGCCTTCATAGTTTATTCATTCAGATTAAACTGAATATAGCCTTACTACTGTCTAGTATGGTATTCTACACTGCAAAGATTTATTTAGCTGGTAGTGACCACAAATAAATACTCACATTTAGCAACAACCTTTAACTTTGACTCCTGTCCACCAGGAATATTAATTAGAAACTTAGCTGTCTGTCTAACAGAGATCAGTTGCAAGTCCCGCAGGTCCACAGATGATTTATCTGTATCAATGACCTTGATGGTAACAGGACATCCTATTAAGTAAAAGCAATATGTACACTTAACTAATATACTTTATAAACATAAATATACTGATACGTTTTTCTAAACTTTCTGAAATATTATTTGCTCATACCTGAAAGCTAACTGTATATGATAAAATGTTTTGGAAAAATTCTGTTATTTAAAATATATGATGTTGGAGAATATTAGCAATACAGAAAAACGAAAAATTTATACTCATTATTTTTAGTACTAGGGACTGTAGATTAAATGTTATGTTTGTTGTATCATCTGTGTCCCCTGGTGGGGCAGCGGTAAGTCTATTGATTTACACCACTATAATCAGGGATTTGATTCCCCTCTGTGAACATAGTAGATAGCTTGATGTGGCTTTGCTATAACAAATACACATATATCGTCTACTTTGAAGAAATTCAATAAAATAAAAACTTGGGATAATATGAGTTATGAGTATAAAATGTTTATATTTCTTGGGGATGTTAAAATATTTAAAAAGTAACAATATATTACTGAACCTTAAAAGTGTGCTAAGTTGTTTTTACAACTTTTTCTTTGTTTCAGTTCTGTAATTCATAAAATATTTACCTGGAATGTTTTCCCCATTAAATTTGATATCTACTACATGGGGAGTGATAAATGTGGGTGTAAAGTTGACAAGACAGCGTCCACCACCCAGAACCTGAACATGATTAGGTACCTCTCCTTCATTAACTGATATCTCTAATTGTCCTTCCCCGGCTTGGGACGCATCCACTGTTGATATGTTTATCAAAAGAATATAAATCAAGATTAGATAAAAAAATATCTTGATGATTAATAAAGTAATACATTCATTTGATGTTACTTATGAACTCAGCAGAACTGTCACAAAGGAATGAAAATCAAGATATTCACTTTACAGAACTTTTTAACTGAAAACTAAATTATTTTAAGTTGGACAAATATTGGTTTTTAAATAGACTCCAATAGTAAAAATTTCCAGAGAATAATTTCCAACATATTTAATATTAACCAATATGTTTCTAATTGCACTAGTTAAAGATATATTTATAACATTAATTTCCAATTGAAATCCATTTGAAAATATACCTCATAATTAGTGGGTTCTTCTCTTAAGTGGTACTTATATATTAATTGAATAACATTGCAACTGGTATTTGGATTGAATATACTAGTATTTAGGTACCTTATAATTATATATCTACAAAATTTCATGTTCCAATATGGCTAAGACTAAGTAGTAACAGAAATGTCCTACAACATATCATGGTTGAGTCATGAGAGTAATCTATTTACTTAAATATATTAACTAATATATTAATTCTCACCTAAAAAGAAACCAAACAAAGTTGAATAAATCTAACACTGTTTCTTTAAGTTTCTAATGTACTTTCTTGTCAGTTATTACTCCATTTTCTTTCCCAAGATAGTAATATTTTAGAGAATTTAAGATACAGAAAAATGTTGTAGATTTTATACATAGGCTAACTGAAAGTGATATAACTGCACCTTGAAAATGGCAATTCTGTCCAACAAAAACACTATCAGGTACATCACAGATTCTAATCCTAGAGGTGTTATAGGCTTTGCTGGTGAAAGGACTTCCAGGAACATGCTGACCTGCTACTAGCACTTCAATCATATATGTTCCTATGGAAAGAAAAAATTGTGAAAATCTGAAAGGATTTGCTTCTATACTGAAAACACTAATATTTCTTTGCTTTTATTGCTACTAACTCCACTAATTACAGAAGTACAGGACTGCTATATGTGTTGATAAAAGTGCCTTAATGAGTCAGCTGCATTATCATCATAATTTAATTTGTCCTATTAATCACAGCAATTATTTTCTGAGTTAGAAAATTAAGTGCTTATTGACAATGATTTAGACTCTTACATATATATATATATATATATTTAAAAGTTAAAAACAACACAGCTTAAGTAAAATGGATTCTTTGTATCTGTCATGATATAAAAGACTGTTTGGTTTAGATATTAGTGATTAATTTATTTTTGTGAGTGAATATATTATTATTGTTTAGTTTTGTTATAATAAGAGTTAAAAGCAGATGATTGTAGGAAGTTTTGTTAATAATTCATTGACATTGAGAATATAGAAGGCGTACAGACGATTAAGTGATAAAGATATAAATAACGTGAGACAAGCGGAAACAGCAGACAGATGATAGCAAAAGAGAATAAAGTTGGTGTGAAGTTAACTACCATAGAAGTGATAGGCCTAACAATTGGCATAGGCCTAACATTTAATATGTTAGAGTGAAATGGACAGTACAAAAAAAGATAAGAAAAATAATTTTATTTCGTCAACGCATGGTTCTAAAGTAACTGAATCAGTCTGAGTACACTTTGACAAAGGAACAGAGCATCTTCAGAAGAAAGAAGGCCAAACGATTTTGGTAACTCATGCCACAATTGTAAGTGAATCACAGAGAATACTAGTGTGATAGAAATAGAGAATCTAGTTT